ACTAGACTATAGACTAGACTATAGACTAGACTATAGACTAGACTATAGACTAGACTATAGACTAGACTATAGACTAGACTATAGACTAGACTATAGACTAGACTATAGACTAGACTATAGACTAGACTATAGACTAGACTATAGACTAGACTATAGACTAGACTATAGACTAGACTATAGACTAGACTATAGACTAGACTTGACTATAGACTAGACTATAGACTAGACTATAGACTTGACACCGGAAATAAGGTATAAACTCTAGTTCCTTATGAGATTTTAAATGGAACTAACCTAGTCCATCCGTCTGCCTCTCGAGAACACACTAGGACTTAAATGGGAGGAAGTAGAGGATTGTTGACATTAAAAATGAGATAAATCGGTTTACATTTGCCTCAGATGTGAACAGATTTGAACTGATTACAATTGATAAGTTTGTAGCTAACATTGTTCGAAAAATTCTCAGAAATATATACATATAAAATTTACTTCATGCATTGGTACTGAACTCAAAAGAAAACTGATACCAAACTCCAAACGTAATGAAAAGTTCTTTATGATAACTTTAAGTTTTTCTTTAAGAAAATGTCCTATTTTTAGCAAATGTTATTTTGAGCTTCTATAACATTATGCGGATTACATTGTTTTATTTGATCAATTTAATAATAACCACAGTCAATTAATTTGTCATTATACCATTTGAACTGGCATACTTTTCTTTAGGATTCTATTTATGCGCTGACATTTTCATAAATTTTTCCTTAAGAAAACTAAAAACCTAAAAAACTTCCAACGAAATATAAAAAAGACAAATTTGTGTCAATGAACTTAACATTATAGAAAACAACAGCAGCAACAATAACAAAATTGTTATAAACGGAACTTAGGGGAAAAATATCCGACGTCTTAGAAAAAAATGGTAAAAAACAATGACAAACAATTGTTAATAGAAAACCGCAGGATAAACACGCGACTACTACTGCAAACAGACTAATCATTAAGTTAATACAAACCCTGTAGTTTGAGGTACTCTAACAAGATAGTTGATGAATTCATAGGTTACTGTGTAAGTAATGGTTTTGAGTGGATAACTTAACAAGTGCAAAAGAGTAATAGTTAAATGGACTGCGGCGTTTTAAAGGACACAAGTTTAATGTAAATCTCTTTATTAATATTTTGAGGAAAATATTTTAGATTTGTTAAATCCTTTTAAAACTATTGGGTTCACTTACGTTCAGACGATTAGTATGGTAAAACTGTATGTGTTAGTCATGTCTTACTAACACGCACATAATTTCTTAAATGAAGAGGAAGAAAAAGCCACAACAAGGAATATAAAAAAAACAACAGACACAATCAATTCTCTGAGTAAACAAACGCTAGACATGCACTCACTCAATGTGAGACAGACAAAAGCACTTTACAAATCGAAAGTAGGGAAGTACTTCGAGTAATGAAAACCTTTTTTAGGGTGCTGAAAAAGGAAATCCAAAGTAATGAATTAATCACAGGATTATCAAAAGATGAATCCAATTCGTCTTTTCTATTTATATCTTTCTGAATTTGCGCTCAGCAGTGAAAGAAATTTGAAGTAAATTTTAGAAATTGGAGCGATCTATACAAGGTCTGTTGTTTGTTATGGAATGATCCTCTAGGAATTTATTCTAGTCTAGACTATAGACTAGACTATAATCTAGACTATAGACTAGACTATAGACTAGATTATAGACTAGATTATAGACTAGATTATAGACTAGACTATAGACTAGACTATAGACTAGACTATAGACTAGACTTTAGACTAGACTATAGACTAGAATATAGACTAGACTATAGACTAGACTATAGACTAGACTATAGACTAGACTATAGACTAGACTATAGACTAGACTATGGACTATACTATAGACTAGACTATAGACTATATATAGACTAGACTATAGACTAGACTATAGACTAGACTATAGACTAGGCTATAGACTAGGCTATAGACTAGGCTATAGACTATACTATAGACTAGACTATAGACTAGACTATAGACTAGACTATAGACTAGACTATAGACTAGACTATAGACTAGACTATAGACTAGACTATAGACTAGACTATAGACTAGACTATAGACTAGACTATAGACTAGACTATAGACTAGACTATAGACTAGACTATAGACTAGACTATAGACTAGACTATAGACTAGACTATAGACTAGACTATAGACTAGACTATAGACTAGACTATAGACTAGACTATAGACTAGACTATAGACTAGACTATAGACTAGACTATAGACTAGACTATAGACTAGACTATAGACTAGACTATAGACTAGACTATAGACTAGACTATAGACTAGACTATAGACTAGACTATAGACTAGACTATAGACTAGACTATAGACTAGACTATAGACTAGACTATAGACTGACTATAGACTAGACTATAGACTAGACTATAGACTAGACTATAAGACTAGACTATAGACTAGACTATAGACTAGACTATAGACTAGACTATAGACTAGACTATAGACTAGACTATAGACTAGACATAGACTAGACTATAGACTAGGACTATAGACTAGACTATAGACTAGACTATAGACTAGACTATAGACTAGACTATGAGACTAGGACTATAGACTAGACTATAGACTAGACTATAGACTAGGACTATAGACTAAGACTATAGACTAGACTATAGACTAGACTATAGACTAGACTATAGACTAGACTATAGACTAGACTATAGACTAGACTATAGACTAGACTATAGACTAGACTATAGACTAGACTATAGACTAGACTATAGACTAGACTATAGACTAGGACTATAGACTAGACTATTAGACTAGACTAGTATAGACTAGACTATAGACTAGACTATAGACTAGACTATAGACTAGACTATAGACTAGACTATATGACTAGACTATAGACTAGACTATAGACTAGACTATAGACTAGACTATAGACTAGACTATAGACTAGACTATAGACTAGACTATAGATAGACTATAGACTAGAATAGACTAGACTATAGACTAGACTATAGACTAGACTATAGACTAGACTATAGGACTAGACTATAGACTAGGACTATAGATCTAGACTATAGACCTAGACTAATGACTAGACTATAAGACTATGGAACTATAGACTAGACTATAGACTAGACTATAGACTAGACTATAGACTAGAACTATAGACTAGACTATAGACTATACTATAGACTAGATATAGACTAGGACTATAGACTAGACTATAGACTAGACTATAGCCTAAGACTAATAGGACTAGACTAGACTAGACTATAGACTAACTATAGGAATAGGAAACTAGACTAGGACTAAGACTAGACTATAGACTAGACCTATAGACTAGACTATAGGACTAGACTATAGACTAGACTATAGACTAGACTATAGACTAGACTATAGACTAGACTATAGACTAGACTATAGACTAGACTATAGACTAGACTATACTAGATAGATAGACTATAGACTAGACTATAGACTAGACTATAGACTAGACTATAGACTAGACTATAGACTAGACTATAGACTAGACTATAGACTAGACTATAGACTAGACTATAGACTAGACTATAGACTAGACTATAGACTAGACTATAGACTAGACTATAGACTAGACTATAGACTAGACTATAGACTAGACTATAGACTAGACTAGACTAGACTATAGACTAGACTATAGACTAGACTATAGACTAGACTATAGACTAGACTATAGACTAGACTATAGACTAGACTATAGACTAGACTATAGACTAGACTATAGACTAGACTATAGACTAGACTATAGACTAGACTATAGACTAGACTATAGACTAGACTATAGACTAGACTATAGACTAGACTATAGACTAGACTATAGACTAGACTATAGACTAGACTATAGACTAGACTATAGACTAGACTATAGACTAGACTATAGACTAGACTATAGACTAGACTATAGACTAGACTATAGACTAGACTATAGACTAGACTATAGACTAGACTATAGACTAGACTATAGACTAGACTATAGACTAGACTATAGCTAGACTATAGACTAGACTATAGACTAGACTATAGACTAGACTATAGGACTAGACTATAGACTAGACTATAGACTAGACTATAGACTAGACTATAGACTACTATAGACTAGACTATAGACTAGACTATAGACTAGACTATAGACTAGACTATAGACTAGACTATATACTAGACTATAGACTAGACTATAGACTAGACTATAGACTAGACTATAGACTAGACTATATACTAGACTATACTAGACTATAGACTAGACTATAGACTAGACTATAGACTAGACTATAGACTAGACTATAGACTAGACTATAGACTAACTAGACTATAGAGTATACACTAGACTATAGAACTTTCCTGCCGTAATTTGACCAATATTTTGGTCCGGTGCGCCACGAAATTTGATTCTAAGACGATCTAGCCATGTCTGTCCATCCTTCTGTCTAGGGACCATAGGGTCTAAACGTAAAAAGCTAGAGGGCTGAAAAATTGTGTGCATCGTATTGAAAGTCGGTTCACATTGGCCATTTATTCTTAATAAATCGTTTAAGATCAAATTAGATAATTTCTACAGAAACTATTTGTTATTGCAAATCTGTCAGTACTAATACCGTGGGTCTACACGAGACTCTGGTAAAGAAGTACATACCGGGACCCGATAGTGGGCCAGCTGTATTTCTTTGAATCTAATGTAATTTACATCTTCCTTTCAAAATAACTAAATATTGAACCAAGTCCTTAAAAAATGTCCTATAAACCTTTATGTACATAAGATTCGGCATGGACGAATTTAAAACCATAACAAGTTTGATTTGCTTTAAAAAGACTTAAGAATTAGGAGTTTCTCTAATCAAAAACTTTTTTAAGAATTACTGATTTGGTACCAGGTGCCCTACAAAATTTCCTTACCTTTCTTAGAAACTAATAATTTATTACTTACACTTTAGAGACAAATTAACAGAAATCCTTGAGTTGTTTTTGTTAATAAACAAAAAATGTTATTAAAAAAGTTTTTATTTTTAACGTGGAAAACTTTTTGTTTTATTATTTCAAACTCAGTTTACACGAATTTGTCTTTTCAGTAATTTTATTAGACACCTTATTTCTCGTTTAGTCTTTCTCTCTCACTCTCTTTTATAATTTTTTATTCACAGTCCTTGTTAGTCCTTTGTCACAGACACAAAGGATTTATTTTAATGAACACGTGAATTTAATTTTCAAATTTAAATTTGTCACAAAATTTAAAATAATTTATTTTTTTTATAACTGTATGTTACTTTTCTTTTTTTAATGTTTTAATAAAAAAAGAAAAAAATGTTAAATGTCGTACAAAAAATGAGTTCGTTAAATTATTATTATTATAAAATATAAAAAATTAGTCGTTGTGCACTTCACTTTTTTTATTGGAATTATTTCGTTTTAAATATTTTTTTATTTAGAATTAAATGTTAAATTTTATTTAGAAATTAAACATATTTTTTCATAATTATTATTTTATTCTCAAAATATTTTATTTATTTACTTTTTAAACAGAGCGAAGCGTTTAGATTATTCTTTTACTGAATTCGTTTAATTTTGAATTTATTATAAATTTAATTCTATTTATTTTTTTATTTAGTTATTGGAGAAGTCTAGTGTACCGTTCGAAAGCGCTGTTAGATTGCAACTGTTTGTAAATAAATTTTGTTTTCTTCCATTTACGTTTTCTTCTGCGTTTCGTTTGTTTATTCATCAGAAAAGCTTTTATGGTTGTTATTATTAATTGAAAGCTTTTTTTTCAGCAACATTTTATGAAGGTGTTTCTTCTGCTTTAACAGCACTTGGGGTTCTGTTAATATTGTTTGTTTCTGTTAAATTTTGATTGGAGCTCTGTTAATGACATTTGTGTATTGTTTTAAATGTGTTGCTTTTCAAAAGAATGCCAAACAACCAACCCCAACATTATTTTTGTTATTAAATCAATCTCATTCAATTTAAATTATGTTATGTTGTTAATTTTTCTCAAAAACAAACCTATAAAAAGAGGGAAATACATTAGACACTTTTAGAATTTATCAAATAAAATAGTTTAGTATGTCGTTTATTATCTATTTGTTAGGTTCAGCAAAAAATGAAAGTTTATCGTAACCCCTCCTAAATTTTTAATGCAAAATAATTTTGATAAAAACTTTTTTTGCAGTTATCAATTTTTTTCTATTAAATATTTGTTTATAACCATATAAAAAAATGTATTAGTCCACAACCAGTTCTACTATGTTGAGACTAAAAATGTTTGTTCTCAGAAATACATATGTAGTTATACGAGCTACAGAGAACTTATGACATTTTGTAGACCAATTAGGAATTACTTACTTACCTTACTTAGACGTTACTTACTTACTTACTTACTTACTTACTTACTTACTTACTTACTTACTTACTTACTTACTACTTACTTACTTACTTACTTACTTACTTACTTACTTACTTACTTACTTATTACTTACTTACTTACGTACTTACTTACTTACTTACTTACTACTTACTTACTACTTACGGACGGACGACGGACGGACGGACGGACGGACGGACGGACGGACGGACGGACGGACGGACGACGGACGGACGGACGGACGGACGCGGACGACGGACGGACGGACGGACGGACGGACGGACGGACGGACGGACGGACGGACGGACGGACGGACGGACGGACGGACACGGACGGACGGACGGACGGACGACGGACGACGGACGGACGGACGGACGGACGACGGACGGAACGGACGGACGGACGGACGGACGGACGGACGGACGGACGGACGGACGGACGGACGAGGACGGACGACGGACGGACGGACGGACGGACGGACGGACGGACGGACGACGGACGGACGGACGGACGGACGGAGGACGGACGGACGGACGGACGGACGGACGGACGGACGGACGGACTACGGACGGACGGACGGAGACGACGGACGGACGGACGGACGGACGGACGGACGGACGGACGGGACGGACGACGGACGGACTACGGACGGACGGGACGGACGACGGACGGACGGACGGACGGACGGAGACGGACGAGGACGGACGGACGGACGGACGGACGGACGACGGAGGACGGACGACGGACGACGGACGGACGGAGGACGACGGACGGACGGACGACGGACGGACGGACGGACGGACGACGGACGGACGGACTGACGGACGACGACGGACGACGGACGGACGGACTTACTTATTACTTACTTTACTTAGTGTTACTTAGTTAGTAGTTAGTTAGTTAGTTAGTTAGTTGTTAGTTAGTAGTTAGTTAGGTAGTTAGTTAGTGTTAGTTAGTTAGTTAGTTAGTTAGTAGTAGTTAGTTAGTTAGTTAGTTAGTAGTTAGTAGTAGTTAGTTAGTTAGTAGTTAGTTAGTAGTTAGTTAGTTAGTTAGTAGTTAGTTAGTTAGTTAGTTTAGTTAGTTAGTTAGTAGTAGTGTTAGTTAGTTAGTTAGTTAGTTAGTTAGTTAGTAGTAGTTAGTTAGTTAGTTTAGTTAGTTAGTTAGTTAGTAGTTAGTTAGTTAGTTAGTTAGTAGTTAGTTAGTTAGTTAGTTAGTTAGTAGTTAGTAGTAGTTAGTTAGTTAGTTAGTTAGTTAGTTAGTTAGTTAGTTAGTTAGTAGTTAGTTAGTTAGTTAGTTAGTTAGTTAGTTAGTTAGTTAGTTGTTAGTTAGTTAGTTAGTTAGTTAGTAGTTAGTAGTTAGTTAGTGTTAGTTAGTTAGTTAGTTAGTTAGTTAGTTAGTAGTTAGTTAGTTAGTTAGTTAGTTAGTTAGTTAGTTAGTTAGTAGTTAGTTAGTTAGTTAGTTAGTTAGTAGTTAGTTAGTTAGTTAGTTAGTTAGTTAGTTAGTTAGTTAGTTAGTTAGTTAGTTAGTTAGTTAGTTAGTTAGTTAGTTAGTTAGTTAGTTAGTTAGTTAGTTAGTTAGTTAGTTAGTTAGTTAGTTAGTTAGTTAGTTAGTTAGTTAGTTAGTAGTTAGTTAGTTAGTTAGTTAGTTAGTAGTAGTAGTTAGTTAGTTCGTTTAGTTAGTTCGTTAGTTCGTTACGTTCGTTAGTTCGTTCGTTAGTTCGTTCGTTAGTTCGTTAGTTCGTTCAGTTAGTTCTTGTTCGTTCGTTCGATTTCGTTCGTTCGTTCGTTCGTTCGTTCGTTCGTTCGTCGCTTCGTTCGTTCGTCGTTTATCGTTGCCGTGTTCGTAGTTGCCGTGTTCCTTCTTCTTCTATCTTAAAATGTAATTTAATATTTAAGATGTGGGAACCACTTTATTATTCTTTAAATGTGTTAAGTTACAAAATTTACAAACTAAATAAGAAATTAATGATAAAAAGCCTCTAGATTTTTATAGAATTTCAAAAATTGCTTTATTTGTACACACGACTTTGCTAAAACGGCGTAATAATTACAAAACAAACGTCTGTAGGTGTATTTTTAAAAACAGAAAAAACAATAACTTTTAAAATAAAACCACAACAACACCAAAATTAAATATGATTGTATTTAAAAGAAGGAAACGGAAGATCATGTCATATTTAATCATTTACAATTAAAAAACATTTTTATTGACGAAAAACTAATTTACTGAAAGAAGCCATAAACTTGGTGGATGGATTTGTATGGGAGCTAAGGTTAAATGAGGCTTAATTATTATCAAATTCAGTAAGGTCATCAAGGCTTGTATACGACATAGTTGAGACACTTCTTGGCTAGACACAAGTATATTTAACATAATTGTGAACTCAAAAGCTTGGTAAAATAATGGACCGATTTCAACCATTACCTACTGGATCCAGCGAAGAATCCTGGATTTGTCGCATTCTTAAATTTCATCGTGATACTATTATTTATTAGTGAAATGTTTATATTCAAGTCATTTTCTGAAGGGTACTTGTTAGAGGGGTACAGACAGACTTTAAGGTGGTTGTATGACCAATATTGTAGGGTATAATTAACTGATAACTTCATTTAAGTAAATAATTAAATTAATATTTGACATAAAAACTTTCATAAAATGTTTAAATTTATTATTATTTACTAGGATTTAATTTTAATTAATTAAATTAAACAATAAATATATTGTTAAAAATTTGCCAGCCAAGACAAGAACCTCACATATTAGAGAAATCTTTATGAAAAATTAAATTTCGTGGGATATTTGTTTCAAAATTTTTGTTCTGAAATTCTTAATCAATTCTAAAACCATTTTCGGATTCAGCATAGGTTTTAGTCTTAAATGACAAATTTCAGTTGGCCTCGGCTGCAAGATATCGAAATAACAGCACAATTTGTTCAAAGTAAAATATTTTCGGGAATTTTGATTTCGGATTCAGCGTGCGAATTTACTAGAAAGCTGAGTTTCCAGCCAGATTCGGTCAATAGTTTTCAAGATTAAAGCAAACAAAAAAATAAATTTAAAATTTTGATGTAGTATGAGTCCTAGGTCCAACATTCATCAAAATTTATATAAAGGCATTTCTGGAACCGATGTCTTAGGCAAACCATATACTGGCAGACGCAATGGCTCGGGCAGTATGGCCTCCAACATTGTGAACGTTGCTTAATAAAACCAAAAATGGTATGTTTTACTCATATCAATAGTAAACACACAACAGAAAATACCGTAAACATAAAATAGTTTAATAATTGAGCTAAATAAGATATCATTTAATAAAATTGCAAATAATAATAAACAGAATTACTTTAAAACTACTTATATGAAAAACAATAAAATACTTCCTCATCAGAGCAATCAAAATTGACACCAACGCCAAATTTAAACTTTATATCTTTCAATCTTAAGCTTTTTTTCCATAATGACCTTAAAAATAATTGAAAACGTTTATTGAACTAGAAAATAATAAAAGCCAAATTAAATATGTGACATCATGTTAAAATTTTAACTAAATTCCTGTTTAAAAGAAAGGATTTAACAAAAAAATATCACAAATTTAAGGTAGAAATGACATCAGTTGTTTCCCTTATTTGGTCATATGAAGAGAATACAACACATACATTTGTTTTTTGTCCAAAAAATATGAAAACTTAAAACTGAAACATCTTTTATTTAACCCAATTGTGAACTTTTGGTTGTCAATTTATGAAAACAATTGATTTGCTTAAGCAAAATACATACTCCGTACAAGTTTAAGTGCACTTACTGTTGATATTCCCTCAGTAAACAATTTCTAGTGATCAATAATAAATAATTTAAAAGACATTTAAAAATACATAAATAAATTGATTTTAATTTAAATTTCTTTTTTACCTTATAAAGAATAATTGAAATTTGTTTAAATAATGAAACAAACAAACAAATATTTATGGCATTCGCAGTAACATCTGTCAAAGTTAGAGAACGGATCTGAGAAAGTTCACGAAATAAGTAATTATTAGTGTCAAATTGAACTAACTAACTAACTAACTAAGTAACTAACTAAGTAAGTAACTAACTAACTAACTAACTAACTAACTAACTAACTAACTAAGTAACTAACTAACTAACTAACTAACTAACTAACTAACTAACTAACTAACTAACTAACTAACTAACTAACTACTAACTAACTACTAACTAACTAACTAACTAACTAACTAACTAACTAACTAACTAACTACTAACTAACTAACTAACTAACTAACTAACTAAC